TTCAAAGTGCTGAAAGGAAAAAAACTGTCAGGTGAGAATCCTATGTCCAGCAAAACTATTCTTTAAAAGTGAGGAATAAAGTAACACATTCCCAGCTGAGCATGCTAGCTCACACCTGTAATCCCAGCACCTTGGGAGGCAGATTACCTGAAGTCAAAAGTTCAAGACCAACATGACCAACACGGAGAAACCCCATCTCTACTAGAAATACAAAAATTGGCAGGGCATGGTGGCACATGCCTGTAATCCCAGCTACTCAGGAGGCTGAGGCAGGAGAATTGCTTGAACCTGGGAGTCAGAGGTTGCAGTGAGCCAAGACTGTGCCATTGCACTCCAGCCTGGGCAATAAGAGCAAGATTCTGTCAAAAAAAAAAAAAAAAGACATTCCCAGATAAACAATAGCTTAAGGAATTTGTTACCACCAGACCTACCCTGAAAGAACTGCCAAAAAGAGTCCTTAACGTTGAAATGAAAGGACACTCGAGAGCATCTTGAAGCAGTATGATGCAATAAAGAACTCAGTAAAGGTAAATACATGGGAAGTTATAAAAGCTGGTATGACTGGAACTGTGGTTTGTAACTCTGATTTTCTTTTCTACATGATGTAAGACATCAATCCATTTTAAAAAGTATTTGTTTGGTTTTGGCCATGCAATATTTAAACATGTAATTCTGAAATTAAATTTAAAAAACTACTACTTCCTGGGGGTAGGGAAGGGACTGCATAGGAGCAGAGCAGATTTTTTTTAATTGAATTTAAGTTGCTGTAAATTCAAATCAGAGTGTTATACCCTTAGGATGTTAAGGGTAATCTTCATGGTAATCACAAAAAATATAGCTGTAGCGTATACACAAAAGGAAGAGAGAAGAGAGTTTAAACATTTTACTACAAAAAGTATCAATTAACACAAAATAGTAATGCAAGAAATGAAGTACAAAAAAGCATAAGGCATGCAGAAAACAAACAGCAAAATGACACAAGTAAGCTTCTCCTTATCACTAATTAAGTGTAAATACTTTAAAATTTCAAATCAAAAGACAACAATTGGCAAAAATACACTTAAAGAAAAACATACATGATTCAACAATGCACAAGAGGCTTACTTTAGCTCTAGGGACCAAATAGGTTGAAAGTGAAGGGACAAGAAGATATTCTATACAAATAGTAACCAGAAGAGAGCAGCAGTGGTTATAAACAAGGTAGTCACAAAAAGACAAATACTGTATGGTTCCATTTGTATGAGGTACCTAGAGTAGTCTAATTCTGAGGCAAAGTGGAATGGTGCTTGCCAGTGGCTGGGGAGAAAGGAGACTGGGGAGATAGTGTTTAATGGATACAGAGTTTCAGTTTTGCAAGATAAGAGTTCAAGAGATGGAGGATAGTGATAATTGCACAACAATGTAAATGTACTTAATACTACTGAACTCTGCACTTAAAAATGATAAAGATGGAAAATTTTATGTTATGTGTATTTTCCCATGATTTTTAATAATGTGTTATTTTAAAAATCAGTCCAGAACAAGAGGCACAAACCAGACAGTCCCAGGCCAGCCTGGACACAGGTCACCTATGGAAAGATTTTGGACTTTTAGAAAGATAAGAAGCTACTGACCAATTCTAACTAAGGAAGGACATGATGTTATTTGAGTTGTTTAGAAAAGCATTTTGACTATGCAGAATTGACAGGGAGGGGAGTACACTCAAACCCCAGTCTTCTGTCTACGAACACAATTGATTATTTAAGATCATGGAAAGACTAATTTGCCCCCAAGCAGCCATTTCTCAGCCCACTCTGATGCTTTTGTTTTCATTCCTTTGGATTAACTCTAAGATTTGTCTCCAAGAAGTATCGCATTTCACAGCTTTGGACTCATATTAACAGAAATTTCAACACTATGGAATAATTATCAATCCTTCTTTATAATCTCTAAACAAAACAGTTTTCAAATTCATTTTTCACTTCCAACTCTTCATAACTCATGTCCTCATCTTTTGGTCTATTCATCCTTTCTGTTTCTGAATTGATTTTACTCTTTGTCTGAAATCTTGCATTTCACTTTTGAGCTGCCTATAACTCTGTTTCATGAAATGTAACATCTGCAGGCCACACTATTCACTAGTTCCATTAACCAGTCCCGAAATTTTGCCAGTTTGTAAAAGGTGATTAGTTTCACTTCTTCCTTTGTGAATCTAGGGAATTATGAAAATAGCCCTGTGTATCTATTAATTGCAGCAGATTTCAAAATTAAAGTAGGGAGCATTGTAGACATGGCGACTTTTGCACTGCAAAGATATTTTAATCCAGCAACTTTCAGTGTAATTTAAAGAATTTGCAATTTAAGTTCTAGGATGAAGCCCTTTAATGAGAAGGCAATCCTTGGAAAAGTGAATACTCACTCCTAGCCTACCTTAGAGCAATCTAGGGTTTTCTGTTCTGAATTTTGTACTCATGCTAACAAGTGGTTAGAGGAACTGGGAAACCAACTTCTCCACAAGCAAATCCAGTCTTCACCTTGGTTGGTATTATTGGATATCATCTGTGCCTGGGAAAGGTAGCCCTTTATGCCTTTATTAGAGAACACTTTCGTTGATTTGTATCTCAGATCGTTGCATGAGAATAAAGTGAGAAGGATATTAAGTGAAAATGAACATAGAATTGATTCTGGGTTTGGAAGGATGTGCTTGTGAGATTGTAAATAAGAGAAGAAGGAAAATGAATGGGTAAGAAATTCCCAAGCTTTCCTCTTACTCTCCTGACTATTGTCCCTTACACTATCCTTCAAATAGAAGCAAAAGAGGGTAGAGAAGAGGCCACTGGACCAATCAAACAGATACTGTCTGTATTATGCAGAACTGGGTGCTACAACTATGAGCCACACAGAACCTAGAGAAGGTGTAAGAGAAACATCTTCAAAAGCAAAAAAAAAAAAAAAAAAATTAAAATCGTAAAAATAATACCATAAAGGAAAGCTAAATGGTTAGTGATTATTTAGTCTAGAATAAAAGCTAAGGAGAAAAAACTATGAACTTTCCTCAGAGTTAGAAGAATAGCTTCTGGCTAAACTCCCACTCTGACAGAACCAGAGAAAATTAGCCCAGCCACAAAGTGCTTAGACTTCAAGGCAGAATTTCCCAATGACGAGTTATTTTGTGTGTTTGTTTAAGAAACCATTTTGGACAAGGGTCTTAGTCAGTTCATGTTGCTATAACAAAATACCATAAACTGGGTTGTGTTAACAGCAAATGTTTATTTCTTACAGTTCTGGCGACAGGGAAGTCCAAGATCAAGGCACTGGCAGATTTGGTTCTTGTCCTGATTCACAGAAGATTGTCCTCACAGTGCCCTATCATAGTGGGAAAGGCAAGGGATCCCTCTAGGGTCTCTTTTAAAAGGGCACTAATCCCACTCATGAGGACTCTGCCTACAAAACCTAACCCCCTCTTAATACCATCATTTTGGGCATTAGAATTTCAACGCATGGCTTTTGGGGGCACACAGGCATCCTTTTCATAACAATGAGATCAGGAACGCTTCCTTTTGTTGACCTTTTAAAGACACACACAAACAAAGATGAGAAGTCAGGGAGAAAGAAAAGGAGAAGGGGTGAAGAGAGAGAAAAAGGATGGGGATTTAACTCTCTGATAAATGCTAACATGTTTACAGTTTTTAAAAACTTGGTCAGGTGCAGTGTTATCCCAGCACTTTGAGGGCATTAGAATTGCTTGAGCCAAAGAGTTTGAGACCACCGTCGGCAGCATAGTGAGACATCTATCTCTACAAAAAAAAATTTTGGTCAGGTGCCTCAGCTTGTACCTGTAAGTCTGAAGGCTGAGACAGCAGGATTGTTCAAACCCAGGAGTTTGAGGCTGCAGTGAGGTGTAATTGTGCCAGTCTACTCCAGCCTGAGCGACAGAGTGAAACCATGTCTCAAAAAAAAATATCGAGTTGACTGAATGAGGAGTTAGGGGAGGGAAAGAAAAGCCAAGATTTGCTAACTTTCCCCTACCATACTTTAGGCCAGAGCTTATATAATATTTACAGCACACTTAAAAGTGGAGAAATGAAAGCAGACATTATGGTCCTCCTTTTAAAATGACATCCAGTGAGGAAATTGATGCACAGAGAAATTAAGTAACTCCCCTAAGGGCACACAGATCACTGATGGACAAAACAATGCTCAGCATCAGGTCTGACTGAGTCCAAATCCCATGTGCTGCCATGCCTGTATTAGGGCATGCTGGGGTCAGCAACGGCGTCTGGGGCCCAGAATTGCTCAGTGGCCCAGCGTGTCCCAGGGGCACCCTCAGGTGAGCTGTGGGCTCCTCTGTGTTTCCTGCACTGCTTCTTCACTTCCGGAACTGGTCTTGCAGAATCCTGTAGTCCACTAGTTAATATAAAACGTGTATTTCCGCTTATGGGTTAATGAGTATTGTAATAGGTGGTGTAAAAGATATCTCTGTGCAAGGTAAAAATTCAAATGTTACAGAAAAATATAAAAGATAAGGAAAAGTTTTTCTTTCTTCTCCCAACCCTCCCTTTCCACAGAGGAAATCGCTATTAGAGTTTTGTATGTGCTTTTCTTGAAAAATGTCCTAAACATATAACCAGCTAGATCCAGTTTGTCTAACTGGGTCAAAAAACTTGCCTTTATTAATTATGAAGAAAACAGGAATCTTAATGCCCCTCGTACAGTAGAATCTTTCTGATGTTATTATTTTTTAAATGTGTTTCGGGGAAACCTTATGCCTCAACATCTTAAAGAAGTGATGGATATTACGAGAGTTTGAGGATAATAATCATGAGAAAGTAATTTCTTTGTGTGTTTTTATTATCTTTTAAATGCAACTGATTAATGGCAATTGTTTTGGATTGGGCAATGTAAGAACTTCTTTATATATATATTACATAATCTTCACAACATCCTTACCATTACAGTTTTACAGAGAGGACCCATGGAATCCTTGATGAGATATGCCTTTTTTGCTTTGTTTTTTTCAGACGGAGTCTCACTCTGTTGCCCAGGCTGGAGTGCAGTGGCATGATATCAGCTCACTTCATTCTCCACCTCCTGGATTCAAGTGATTCTCCTGCCTCAGCTTCCCAAGTATGTGGGACTAGAGGCGAGCACCACCATGCCTGGCTAATTTGTACTTTTAATAGAGACAGGGTTTCTCCATGTTGGCCAGGCTGATCTTGAACTCCTGATCTCCAGTGATCCACCCATCTCGGCCTCCCAAGTGCTGGGATCACCAGTGTGAGCCACTGCTCCTGTCTGAAGATAAGTCTCTTAACGTCTTACAGCAATAAGGGATGAAAGGAGGAATTGAACCTGGGCAGCAGAATCTCTGATCCTGAATTTCTAACCACAACACAGACCAACCACCATTCATTGCAAAGATGTTAAATTCACCTTGGAAAATGGAGAAAAGAAGAAAAATGACACTCAGAGATTATTCACCCAAATAAAATTCATGTTCGCCTTTACTTGGTCTGTTTCCTACAGTGACTTTCTTTTCAGAACTTCAGATCTAGACACAGAACCCTGTAATTGATACAGTTGCCTGGTTTATGAACAGATTCACAATAGGTAAGGAATTCAGCCACTGTTGGTTACACAGAAAATAATGAACTCATCTGAAAAACAAAAAACGACTATTCTGAAAAATACCGAATTTGCTCTGTCACTAAGTGGAGGAGGGGAATGAGTGATATACTTGCTCATGGCTTTCTCCCAAGGGCCAGTTCCAGCAGGGACCCCAAAATGGGGACAGTGGATGAGCCAGCCAGTAATCAGACCTTTGGGAGCTGGGATGGCAGCTGGATGCCAGTGGCCAAGCCTCTTTCAGCCCCTGACAGCCAGCTGACCCTGCCCCACTCCCAAAAACCAAAGAGTGCTTAGTGACACAATTACCAACCACCACCATCTCCTGTTTTGGGTTGACTAAGAACCACAGGGCTGCTGTGCGGCTAAATACAATACTGTCAAATTTTGAGTCCTTACAAAGAAAAAAATACTTGCTATACTTAAGCATCACTGTGTTTATAACTGAATCATTATTCAGGTGGGGTTGGCAGCTAGAGAAATTGACTTACAAACTGTCTAGCTGGGTCTAGGTGCTTGTTTTTATTAATTATGAAGAAAGCAGGAATCTTAATATTGCTCTTACATTAGAGCCTTTCGGATGTTACTATTTTTTAAATGGGCTTAAGGAAAACTGACTGAAAAGTGTGACTTGCAAATAGCATTCTGAGAAAGCTGCTAATCAATACATATTTCATAGCACTCCTGAATAAGGTCAGATATAAATAGCAGCACAAACATTTAAGAGCTATTCTCACTGAAAAAAAATTAATTAATTGGTGTTATACACAAAGGACTTCTCTATTTATTTATTTATTTTTTTGGTAACCAGCACAGCTTTAATTACAAGTAATTGTTCTCCAAATCAGGCTGCTCATAAGTTCTACATTCTAGACAGTGATTATGCATCAGTATCCTAATCTATCACTTTTATTATTTTAGTCATTTGGGTGTGTAACTTTGTATTAAATTCAGACAACAAACTCTGCAGTTCCCACTGTTACTTGCTGTCAACGTATGCCTTTTTAAAGCACAATAGGGTTGGATGGCTTAGATTTACATTCATTTACTTTTACTTAGGAAAATAATAGTATATTATTGTGGGGTTTGCTGACTTCTAGGTAAATACGGTGGCATTAGATGTACAGGGAGCTGGGTTTGTCCCTAGTTAATCAGGAATTGTAGTAGGTGTCTCTATAGAAATGCATTTGTTACTGTATTGTAATGAGCTGGAGTTGGCAGAAATTCCCCTGCAGAAATCTCCTCGTGAAGTAATAGGAGCCTATTCCTTACCTCATTCATACATTTCTTCTCTCTCAAGTTAGACATTAGAAATGTCGCCTAGATTACTGAACTCCAGTACACTGTTCACTCTCTATGCAGGATTTGTATATCTGAGTAAATTTCAAAAAAAACTCGAAAGCCTTCCCAGGACATCTGATGGGAATACATTAGATGCACCTTGTCCTTGTGGATGACACCACTGTTTTGTTTCTGATCTTATGCATGCAGGCAGATACTCTTTATTTCCTATGAAATACGTGTCCTTCAATGCAAGACAAATGGTGATGAGCTTTGTCCCTTTCTAAGTTGCTTTTTGGTGTGATGTTCTAATTGCTATACCACAGAGTTTTAAATGAAAAAACTTGAATTGCAAATTCTATCCATACTTATAAAAAAATAAAACAATATAATTATATTTTTGGTAATCACTTATTCATTTGAATAACTCTCATAAAGCACACACACAACCACAAATATTTTAAACTACACAAATATAAAATGTTGTGGAGGAAGGGGTTATTTACAATGTTAGAAAACAATGCTGTTGCCAGAAAAATTTTCTTGGGGTTGCAAAGTAGGTCTGATAATGGAAAATACATAATCTGAAGACAAACTATGCTTTATGCATTTTGAACCTTATTAAAAATTATAAATTTTGAAAAAAATTTATGTTTAAACTAATAATTTTCTTTATTTTTTATTAAGCTTCCTTGTTAGATGCACATAATATAGATTTTAACTAGCTCAGAATTAGATTGCTTTGTCTACTCTATTCTATCTTTCTTTTCCAGGTTAAGTTTTTTATTGATATAGTGGGAATTTTGCCTAAGCACAAAACTGCCAGTAATTTCACAGCATTTATTGAGGGACTTCTGCGATTATAGATATTCAGTGAGTATAGGACTCATGAGAAAAAAAAAGAAGATCATGGTGATAAAGGATATAGTCCTGTCCTCCTGAAGGAGTTAACAATCCACACAATAACACATGCATGCACAATAACACACACACAAGCACACAGAGCACTTGCTCCAGATAAGAACATGAATATAATAAAACTGGAAAACAGATTTTACAAGCCAAAGGCCCTCTGGAGGTGGAAGGACCAGATTTACGGTGAGGTTGATTTGGAGAGTTTCTAGAAACATCACAAAATGAATAACATAGATTGTCATCAGATAAAGAAGTCCCAAGTTTGATTAAATGTTTCTTATTTCATAAAGGTTATTTAACCAACGCTTACCAGTACTAGAGTTTTTACTTAAATGGAAACCTTAGAAAGTTGTTTGGGCATGAGGTGGAACAGACTCCGGGGTGACTGAATGACAAATTCCCAGGCCAGAATGAACAAATCTAGAGCGAAAGGAAGCTGAGATTGGTGAGAAGACACAGTGTCTGTCTGAACTAGTGAAAAACAAGACCGGAAGTTCCAGGAGAAGAAGGAATGGAGGAAGGAGAAACTTTTAAAAGCAGGCAGCATTGCTCTAACACGCCATAGGGCACTAAGGGTCTCACTGGGATTTTCACATTGGATACTCTCACTTTCCATATCTTCTTGCTGATGCCACTTAAATCCAGTCACCCAAATCAAAGATCAGTAAAAAGGAGACATGGATAATATTTAATATGTGTTTAGCCTCTGCCTACAGAACCTGAAACACGTCAATTTAGTGAAAAATAAGCAGTTATCTGACGTATTTGGGGGTGGGGAATCAAGCACTTATTTACATTTTTAATTTCCCTTCCCCTATTAGTGAACGTTAGTGTGTTGTCTAAAACTACAGTAATCCAGGGATGATCCTGCCTTTGAACACGTACAGAACCATTAAGGCAAACAGCACCTCACTTGTGGAAGTGGGAAGCACTGACTCTGTTTCCAGTTATTTACGTGAACAAGAAGCTGGACATGACCATATTCCAAACTGATGTGCTTTTACGTATAGCTTTTCTGTCACAGTGTTGCACATAGTGGGTACTAAGTAAATGATTTTGAATTAGAGAGGCTAATTTGCCTCTTTTCAATATGATTCATACCATATGCAAAAAAAAAAAAAACCCAAAAAACAAAAAAAATCCAGCAACACATCCGTGAACCAAGAGAGTTAATGTGCGAGAGCTTTACCTTTCAAGGCACACAGAGAGCCAAGGCAGAGGTTTTGATTGCACGGGCAGCCCCAGATCAGCCCTTGGCTGGATTAAACACACTTCTAGATATTGTGTTTGTTGCTATTTTGTTGTAAGCGATAGGAGGTCCCTTTGGTAAAAATTAAAGAATTATAAGCAAAACAATAAATAGATATTGTTAGGACTCTGAGAATCTAATTTACAAGTACCCATTTAACATTTTTAACTATAAAATTTAGATATCCACGTTTACTTTTATCATGGCCATGCAAAATTGTGTGGAAGGAGAGATGATTTACAGTGTCAGAAAACAATGCTGTTGCTGAGAAATTTTCTTAGAGTTTCAAGATGGGTCAGATAATATTTTGGCCATGAAATAAACAGCATGAGTAAGGCCTGATGAGGATGAAGCAGCTGAAATAACTGCCACACCGAACATAAATGAAAAGGATCCATTCTGCATATGCAACTCCAGCGCTTTCAGTGAAATGAGGGTTTTACTACTTTTGCCAGATCCCGGAAAGTTTTACACTAATAGAGCCCAGGGACAGTGCGGCAGTGAATCGGAAGAATCAGGCAATGGAGGAATCCAGTGGATTTTGGGAAGAAAATTCAAGGGGAACTGTGGTGCCGTAAAAGGCACGCTGTCTTTCTGAAGAGGTGTTGTTTCGATCATTGCATAGGTAGAGGCTGCTTTGAGTGCGGAATTCAACACACCAAGATGGCTGTTATGGACGAGGAGCAGCCACGAGAAGGAAAGGGGCAGATCTGTGACCCAAGCTGCAGCCCTTGAAACGGGAATAATCCTTATCTTCCATGTGTGCTGTGTGTGACACAATCTTCCCAGGCAGGGAACTGGCCAAGCCCCTGTTCCACCGGAGGGGACTGTAGCTTTGCTTCACCCTCCCTGCCTGCTTAATCGCTGGTTCAAATGACAATCCACCACAGGCAAGCGATGCTCACGCAGAGAAGAAGACAGCCAGGCCAAGATCAAATTTTTCTAAAAGTTTTCTTTTTTCTATATCATCTCAACCTTCATTTTTAAATAAATGGACTTGCAAATAGACCTAACTTCAAAGATCTCATTGGTCGGCTTTCACTGTTTATGTAACCGGGCAGGGAACCATTCAAGATATTATTCTTATTTTTTTAAATCTTCTTTTTCTATCTTTTCAATAGCATCTGGACGATCTTTCTATTCTTGTCTGGTGATAATGAAATCATTAAAAAATGTACCAGAATCCTTTTTGCTTATCTCTGTGCCATTTGGAACATATGTGAATAAATTGAACACCACTTGCTCATTGGTTTTCTTTTTCTCCCCCTCTTCCCTTGTTTTTAAAAGCCCTGTTTGAAATCAGTCATTAAAAGAGCCGGCATCTGAGTTACGTCTGACGCTGGGAGGTACGCCTCAACGTCGTCCACATGGCCTTGATCTAGACAGCGAGCCACAATCTACCCAGCACATTTTTGTGGCTTAAGTGACCTGGAATCTGGGGCTTTTCTTTGTTGAAGATTTTCTTTAGATTTCAAGTTGATTTTACACCAATAATGGTCATTCCAGCTTGGGCATTGCACAAATAGTTCATGGATGACCATGGGGAATGCAGCTATGCTCTTGGGACTAGTAGCTAGACTCTCTCAGAGGGCTTCACTTAGATCAAAGAGCATCTTTCCCTTCCTTGGAAACCACATTGCCAGCCTTTGCCAGCCAAGGGCCTGCTTGTGTTAAGTGAGGAGAGAGAGACTCCAGCTCATCCCAAAAGAGGCCCCATGGAAGATATTCGAAAGATTTTTCCAGAAGGAGGTTGCTCAAAAGCATAACAGGTTCAGCCTCCAGCTTATCACTCAAAAAAGTTTTTAAAGCCTTTTTAAGGAAACAGTTTTAACCCAGCTGCACTTATCGATCAGTGATTTGATTTTGCTTTGTTAGGAGGCACTCGTAATCTGCTTTTAAATGTTTTTTGTTCCTGGCCTCCTTTGATAGCAAGTTCTGCCTAAGGCTACTTCTCAAGACTGGTCACTGGAGCTTTTAAGTCTGTGAATAACTAGAATAATTCTAATCTGGACCTTTCTTTATTCCCCATGCCCTACCCACTCCTGTACACAGCAGAAAATGTTAGGGGGCTGTAAGACTTTTTTTTTTTTTTAATCAAATTCTGCCAAACCTAAAACCTGTAAAAAGGAATCATTTGTCCTTTAAAAAAAGAGAGAAAGAGCAAGGGAGCAAACTTTATTTACAAAGTCAGAGGGAGTCAATCTGATTTTATTTTCTCAAGTACATTCAGTAAGTCTCAAAAATAATGCACTTTCTCAAGTCTTGTCTCTGCTTGGTATCAGCCACAATTAAAATAGAAATCGTAGAAATATATCTGAATCATTGTAGAACATAACTGTTTTTGCAACAGATAGGTTTTATAGAAGCTTTTTTACTTATAACTTTCAAAGTTTGTAATCATGCCTTTCATGACGTTGTGAACTATAATTTTGTCTTCCTAAGCTACCATGTAAGAGTGGTCATTTTATTATTATAGCATACGCTAAAAAATAGAACCTATGCTCCTCATTTAACTAATCACTTCTGATATTTCTCAAGCTAATGGGAACCAAAAACACTTATAAGATATCTGTTGGTTGATTTTCTTAATAAAATGCACACTTTTTAAATAATGTAAGCATATGCATACACATGTATGAACTTTACAAGTTTATTTAGCAAGAAACCAAATATGTGAGGAAAGCAGACTTTTCAAGTGGCGCTTTAATTGTCGTTCATCAAGTTCTACAGATCATTACTGAATGTTTACAGGTCCTGCCTGGAATGACTTTACACCAAAGAAGAGGGTAACATATCCTCATTGTTTATAAAAATGACAGCTCCTAATGGACCGTATTAGCTTTAACACAAACTATTAAATCTCCTTCATTACATTTTTTCTGTGTTCTGTTTCGGCATCTCGTTAGCTCTGAGAAGTGGGTGCAAACTCCTAAGGAAACATGAGCACACATTGAGACGATTAGAGATCATGGTTATTAGATAAGCCTCGGGAGGATGTTTTTCTTGGGTTGCTCACAAGCATTTTGAAAGAGTCGTGTTCCAGGTTTGAGGTCCCGTGTTTCTTCCTCTTAAACTATGAGCAGCTGTAGCACATGACCTACTTCTGTAGGGCCCTGTAATGATTTCCTTCCTTCGGAGGCTTCAGGAGTCCTCCTTCTGCCCTGTGAAAAAAAGGGACAAATATTTTAATCCAAGCAAAATGCTGAAGCAGGTTTTGTTGGTTTCAGGGAAGAAACTCAATACAGCTCCAGCGCTGAGTGTAGGCCTCAAATTGGAACCATCTGGGCCGCAGAAGGGCTTAGAGGCATTTGGGGAAGGCAGAGACAGTCTTGCCTAGGGCCGCAACCCATACACCTGCAGAGATGGCCGACGTCTGGGCAGGCCCTGGGCTCACCCAGGAACTGGAGCCGCTCCCAAAGCCCCCACTGCCTGCCATTGCAGTTGGGAACACCACATAAGAAAAGGTGACAATTGCTAAGGGGATGACTTCCTACATGAATATTCCTTATGGTGAAAGGAAAGCCTCATGATTCTTTGGAACATATTTGACACAACTCAGACATAATTTCCTAACTTTTGCTTTTTAGCAGTCAGAGAGAAAAGTCTTCAGGAAACCATAGGTGGGTATACACAATGTTTTTAGAGTTATCTTTAGAACTAGGGAAAGAAAAAGGCTTTTACAAAGCAATGCATGCCTGTTTGGAATTCTCCATATTCTTTTTTTGTTTAAAGGGTTATTATTATTGTTGGTTAAAGTTTTCCTTTCCAACTAAGTGAAAGTGCTTTTCAAGTGTTTTCTAATATCTAAACATAGAAGACTAGGCCAGCTGCTGGAAGGTTATTTTAAATAAAGTATTTTTAAAATTTTTACATTGCAAACTTCCCATGGGTGAGGGATGAGAGTATCAACCCATTTCCAAATATAAAGGACGAGGCCTTTTGCTTAAAGATTAGAAATCGTATCATGTGATTTTAAAACCAGTGCAGAATGTTTTCTGGAAAGAAAATGGAATGTAAAGAACAGATAGACATTGTACAAAAGTTGTGCATTTAACAAATATATTTTCCAAATATTGGTTGATGAGGAATATATCATTTTCACTCTGGGTTTTAAATTATTTGCTGTTGTTAGAAGCGCAATGTGGCCATGATAGAGTCCTAAATAATATGACCAAACTTGACATCCTGAGGTGGGAAGCCCCACGACAATCTCAACACCAAGGTCAGAGGATGATTTATCGAGAAAGGATCACTCTCTGGAAAAGGTGGCAATTCAGAAAAAATAGACGTGCTTGAAATTTTGAGCTTAAATTCCTAGAAGTGTAAATTTATCTGGTTTCTTCTAACTAATCTTTTTCAATTAGCCAGTGGACCACAATTTTTTGCTAATTGTAAGTACATTTATTCATTTATCATAATTAACTCTATTGACTGATGGAAACTATACATATAATTACAAATTGTATGATGAAAATGTTTAATATTTTTAAAAATTAAGAATAGTCAGCAAGAATACATTTTTTAGAAAATTTCTGAATGGAAAATAAGTCCAAAAAATAGTATTTGGACTGAAGGCTCACAGAACGTCTCTCATTTTTGCAAAGTTCTAAGGATATATCTGTTGCAAGGTTTCCCAGCACACCGTTAGGGGCGACAGGACTGTACAGTGTTTCAGTTCTGAGCTGTTCTCACATGCACACTTCATCACAAGCCAACTGGGAGGGGTACAGGAGCGTTGTGTGTGTTGGGCTTACTTTTTTTCCCCCTGTTCCAAATTTATATGCATGAATCTAAATTTTTAACCAAATCGTTGTTCTCTTTCCTCTTGAGGCTGCTTCACACTCCTGCCTACGCACCCAGATGCACCCAGATAGCTCTTCCTCCCTCCCCACACTGACAGCCTGCACCGCTGCTCAGCTACAGGTTGAGACTTAATGGAGCTGAGCAGAGCACTTCCTAGCATGCTTCCTGCTGAGCAGTCAGCCAAGACTGGGAAAGGCCCACCACCAAATGCCAGGAGCCAGGTGAAAATCAGAAGGCCAGCCTGCTGCAGGGGCAGCCTCCAGAAAGCGTCTTGCTGCCATTTAAAGGTATTAGTCCGATACCTTTAGGAAGGCTTTGGGTTTCTCTAGAACACAGGTGCTGTCTCATTCATATAGCTCTGTGAGAATGTCCATATTCAGTATCTGGGCTAAGGTGACCCACCAGTGGTGTGTCTTCACATGTAATTTTATTTTTACTTTATTATTATTGTGATTATTTTTTTAGAGACAGCACCTTGTTCTGTTGCCCAGGCTGGAGTCCAGTGACAATATCCTAGCTCACTGCAGCCTCAAACTCCTGGCCCAAGCGATTCTCCTGCCTCAGCCTTCTGAGTAGCTAGGACTATAGGTGTACCACCATGCCTGGCTAATTTTTCATTATTATAAAGATGGGAATCTCATTATGTTGGACAGGCTGGCCTTGAATGCCTGGTCCCAAGTGATCCTCCTGCCTTGGCCTCCAAAAGTGCTGGGGCTACAGGCATAAGCCACTGCACCCAGCCTTCCTGAGTATTTTTAAATACAGGGTTTCATATCTTTACTGTAGCCCCTAAATTAAACCAATGATTATAACAATCGCACACCAACTAAAGCCATTGTTCTGATGGTTTTATTTGAAAAGCACCATTCTCTACAAATGGAAGCTAATCAATAAGAAGTACACATATATTTGAGAGAAAAGCCCACCCCGTCCTCAGGAAAAGCAACCCAGAGAAAGTGGGCAATTTCAGATTGATTTATGAACTGGGAAAGTACTTCTGATATATTTTTTAATTTTTTCTTTGGCCAAACTGGTCAGGAGGTGATGAAGACTGACTTCCCAGCCTTTTGATGCCAAATCTTAACTGCCTGAAAACTTACAGAAATGCTTGATTAAAACTAGAATAAAAATCTCCAGTTGCCTTCAGCAAACCACAGCACAAGGGTGGGAAAGACAGTGCCAGGTTGCAGTTTAAGTATAGTTACTTGGCGCCTGCTGAAAGTACTGCTCCCTTCCTGTTTAATAATTAATTCAACTTTAAAGCCCCAAGGATCTGGACTCAGCACCAGCTTCACAAAGCAGTACAGAAACAAAATGCTTCCAGAACTGGAAGGGGGATAGAGGAAGAGGGAATCTAACATTTCAAGAAACATCACCACATGGGGCCAGCAAGCAGGGGGTGGGGTTTGGAGGTGGAAAGATCCAGGGTGGAGAAATTCAAAATAAAATAAATACACACAAAAGCAAGGTTATTCACGGCCACTGGCACCAGGACTGGGAGCCGCACTGCGAGCCGGAAGTCATCCATTTGGGAGGCAGGCTGGGTGCCCGCAGGCTAGCGGGGCCGAGGGGGTAATGGGCTCAGTCTCTGGAAGAGGAGGCCCAGCCTTGGTCTTCAGCAGTGGCCTCTGCTCATTAGTCAGAGTATCGTGCTGGAAAAGGCATCCAAGGTGGGCAGTCATCCTTGCCTTCTCACTCCTCTCCCTCCACCCCACCCCACCTGCACAATTCGAGGGGTAGGGACGGAGAATGCCTGATGTGAGGGCGAAAACCAAGCAAGTTCCCAGGCTTAAATATTCATTAACAGAAGTTAACACCCAGCATAGCAGCAGAGAAATGCAAAAATGTGTCCCCGCTCCAGTGGGGCACCTGCACTGCGCTTTGTGATTTTTCTAAGTCGTTTGTTTTCTGTAAGCTGGTGAGTCCAGCCAGAAAATTGATGCACCATAGATGCTGAAAACAGGCAGAAGCTGCTTAAAAGCTCATCAAATCTCTTATCACACACAAGATAGGAGGAGGAATGTTTCCAGAATGACTGCAGCAGACCCACCTCCAACCGCACAATTCAGTGTGAAACCACACTGACTGTTCTTCTGCACTCCAGGAATCCCGAGTATCCCAAAGCATTGCCAAGAGATGGTCTCACCAGAAATGAACAGATTAATTAAACAAAACCAAGGCCCAAGTGGCCAAAGGAAAGAGGAAAGCTATTTAAACCCAAATTGTATTTACTTTTTGCTTATTTTTATTATTATAAAGAGTCATGGGATAGAACACTCACACATATCCCCTGAGATTCCAGTTGGGTATTTTGAAATAGACATTCACATAATTAAATGGTTGAGTTGAACAAATAATGACCTGAATATTTTCCTTAATCCTTAAAAAGAATGGTTTTAATACTCTGCGATTGTTAAAACTATATGGATTTTCTTTACATTTTACTTTATACATACATTAGCTATAAAACATTTTAAGTACATTTCCTTTGTAAGTTTCCCTCCACTGCAGATTGATGGTGTTGCTTTAAAAATGTAGCAGCTGTCTTTTAAAAATAGGATTTTGTATTCCTCTTGACTGAGTTCTTAGGACTATGCCAAACTTAAGTTTGAAACTAGTTTCCAGTTATTAAACATTTTCAAAACCAGAAGGTCAATATGTTTTTCTCAATTTTTGAGGTAGTGAATGTCTGCTGCTGTTTTTTGTTTTTCAATTTCAAGTTTGGTTTCAAGTGCATGCCCCTGCTTTCTTACAAAGCTCATGGTCCTAGACAGTGAATCCTTCCTCACAGTAACATATTCCTTTGTGATGAGAATATCTATCAGCGTATCTTTAAAAAAAAAAAATTCAGCATTTCTATAAAGCAGTGTGTTGTCATGGAAACAGCACTGGACTAGGAGCCAAGCCAGCCCCTGGGATGGTCCAGCACTAGTACACACTGGCAAGTTACAAATCCAAGGACACACTCCTGGGTGTCATTGTGCACTGCTGCTGAAGGAGGAGTTCTCGGTGCTTCTCCCCGTGCACTGTGTCTGCAGGGAACCCTGTTTCAGGGGTGGGAAGGGAAGGCTCACGCACACACAGCCCACTCTAAATCAGTCCAGACTATGATAAGTGCTGAAATAGAACCATGAATTAAATGGACCAGAAGATTTATAAGGCCTGCCCAGGTCCCCAGATCTCCAATTCCATGTGAATCATGGATTCACCAACTGGGTTATGCCCAGTCACTGGCCTCACTCAGTCAATGCTCACCGTGTCCTGCTCACTCCTATCCAGCCTGGGTTTCTTCATACAAACCATGGAGAATCAGTGGTAGTAGGTAATTTGGAAGATTAGATTAGATAATTTGGAATATACCCAGGGGTATAGATGTGCTCTAAAAAAGGGAAAACGTGTGGAAATCAAGCTTAATTCTGGGGTAATCAGGGCATGTGTAGGTCAAGTGTATTCTATTCAAGGTTTACCCACACAAGGCTAAAATATTGTGTTAGAAGTTAGCAGATAAAACAAGAATATTAAGAATATGTCACAACATTTTTTCTACCTCTTTGTGATCCTCTTCATGGTTTGAAATATTTTGTACTAATTGTCTAGTGTGGGCCTATAGGCTGATGGGACTGGGGTCCTCACATCAGTCTTCTCATCTGAAAAATGGGGATTTTAACTTCAGAAAGTTGCCTTGATAATTCTCTGAATTAATGTATGTAAATCTCTTAGTAGAATACACAGAATTTACCAAATCGATATCAGCCATTATTATTGAGTTGGGAGAGCTGTTTTTGTTGTTGTTGTTTTTTGAGATAGTCTCCCTCTGTTGGCCAGGCTGGAGTGCAGTGTCACAATCTCAGCTCACCACAACCTTTGTCTCCTGGGCTCAAGCAATTCTCCTGCCTTAGCCTCCCGAGTAGCTGGGATTACAGGCATGTGCCACCATACCCAGCTAATTGTATTTTTAGTAGAGACAGGGTTTCACCATGTTGGCCAGGCTAGTCTCGAACTGCTGACCTCAGGTGATCCTCTCTCTTTGGCCTCCCAAAGTGCTGGGTCGAATTACAGGTGTAAGCCACTGTGCCCAGCATAGGAGAGCTATGTTTAAGCAAAGAACTAGTGACCAATAATACATAACTAGCATTGCCATACTGATTTTTTTTTTTTTTTTTTTTTTTTTTTTGCCTCTGTATGCGTTTGCACAAAGTGCCACAGGCTGAGTGACTTAAAAGACTGAGATTGATTTCCTCACAATTCTGGAGGCTGCAAGTCAAAGATGAAGGTGTGGGAGGGTTGATTTTCTCTGAGGCCCCTCTCCTTGGCTTGTAGATGCCACCTTCTCCCTGTGTCCTCACATGGTCTTCACTCTGTGCATGTCTGTGCCCTAATCTCTTCTTTTTATAAGGACATCAGTCACATCGAATTAGGGCCCACCCCAATAACAAGCTTTAACCTTAGTTAGCTTGCTAAAGACTGTGTCCCCAGATACCGCCACATTCTGAAGTACTGTGGGTTAGGACTTCAACATGGGAATTTGGTGAAATACAATTCAGCTCATAACAGCCTCCACATCAGTAGAAGCATGGCCTCATTCAAATGTTTAAAAGTAACAGAAATTCAGATTAAAATAACAGAAGTTCACTGGTGTATAAATGAAAGAGATCAACTTGGAGGACATTATTAAGTGAAATAAGCCAGGCACCGAAAGACAAATATTGCATATCTCATTCATAACTGGAATCTGCCTTAATAGAAACAGAGAGTAGAATAGTGGTTATCAGAGCCTGGAGAGAGGAGGGTAAGAGGAAGGAAGAATAAATTCTGGTGTTCTATTACATAGTAGGATGACTATAGCAAAGAGCAATGTTCTGTACATTTCAAGATGTCAAGAAGAGAACATTTTGAATGTTATCGCTACAAAAAAAAGATAAATGTTTAAGGTGACGAATATGGTAATTATCCTGACTTAATTATTTATACAATGTATACATGCATTGAAACATCACACTGTATCTCATAAATATGTTCACTTATTATGTCAATTATACATAAAAATTAATTTCAAAAGAAAAAGTATGGGGAAACAGGCTCCATTCAGACCCTTGAATACTTTCACTGAGATGAAGCCGCATGCTCTGTGACTGTTCCCTGGTAAAGAACAGACACTCACAGTCTGGAGACAAGTTCAAACCAAGCAGAAGTGAGGGTTATTATAACACCAGTGGAATTGATCAATGTAATATACTTGTTGAGTCAACTCACAAAGCTTGAATAACATAAACCAACAGAAATCTGCTTGAACCTGGGATCACCCAGGCCAGAGAGGAGGCTGACGAGTTGCCTTGGTCCTTGGGTGACTTGACCTAGCACTGAACTCTGTGACCTATCAATCTATGAAAAGACAGAAGGAATGTTCTACACACGCAGTTCCATACCATGCCTCCATGAGTTCAGTGACAGATGGATCTGCCCTTTCCCACTGCCTTCTCTGGGAATCTTCCGTTAAACACCTAGTCCATAGCTGCCTTTTTGCACCAAGGCTATGTCACCCCTGCCCTTGTGCCAGAGCAGATTGAGTTAAATATTTAACTCATTTCTATTTTAAAATGTGTTAACTCAATAAGTTTAGATGCATATTCATGATCCTTTCAAATATTTTCTCTTTGGGGCTCATTCAGACTCTCATTTTGGGATTTGCTAAATATGCCAGCTCAAGGAAGGTATTTCAGCAGAATATTTTCATTAGATATTGGTCACCACGTTGCTTGAGCACGAAGCTTTCAAAGAAAATTAAAGTGAAAGAAAAAAAAATCTAGTATTGGTTATTAACTCCACCTCAGGGTGACTTCTCTTCAGGGGCAATTAAATAGCAGCTCTGGGCTGTTAAGTTTAGTGGCTTTACTTGTAGGTGGCACACTCTTCTTCAAGGACAACCTCCATTCAGATATGCTTTGATTTTATCTGATGACACTGAAGCTGTCTCTGCAAAACAAGATTTTCTTTAAAATTGTAGATGTGACCACATCCATGTGCTCTGACCTCTCTTCTTTAAGAATCAAGTTTTGCATTACCAGGTAAATGCCCTTTCAGTGGAATTTTTATGGAACACTGGGGACATCCTGTGGTCAGCTTGGTTTAAGGCAGCCAGTCTTTTCAGCAACAGTCTCAGGGAATAAAGGAATAAGTGTCCCACATAAATCCTGGTTTATTTTTGCAAGACCAAGAAGATAAAAGAAAAGAAAGAAACAAAATACCTTCTTGTTGCTAATAATTTTTGCAATATAAACCTCTCTTTTTTGAGCCAAACAGCTTTTCAGTGAACGTGGATGGAGCAATTTTTTTGTTGTTAAGGAGAGATATTTTCCTGAAACAAAATACAGCTTCATCAGAAGAGAGGAAGAGTGCCATGACATCAGGCGTTGCTCTGCGATCATACCTGGTTCTCACCATCTGCTGTTATAAATTCTCTGTGCCTTGGCTCAACTTCTGGTCCTCATAAGAGACAGCCGTCTGCAAAAAAGCACACAGCATGGCTAAAAGGGAAAACAGTGGGTATTTTGGCAGTATTATACCACAGATAGTGCACCAGTGACACTAAATGGAAGCCATTTAGTTGTAAATGTGATGTTACATTTGACGGTTTCCCTTGGCAAAGCACTGAGCTACCCACATTGAACAGAGGCAAAGAAATGGAACTTGGGGAGCAAAGCCAGTCACCAGAGTAGCAGACCAAAGGGGCTTGTAAAAGCATTTGTCAGTCATTTAGAATCATAACTCAGCTCAACACACACAGTACCAGGAACAACCAGCTCAGTTTCAGCAGTGGAGAGCAGGCAATGGAGTTTATGTTGTTCTTCTGTTTATTAAAGACGGATGGGAGCACTTGACAGAAAAATCAAACTTCTGGTCATGGCTCATTAATCCCTGTTGTATCTGTCAGGGGTATGTGTTTGGAGTTCCAACAAGCCTCTAGAAGGAAGATCACTGCTGAGCTTTGGTATTTTCTCCAATTTTGAATGGAAAGAGATGCCAATCACCTAGAAGGAGACATAGAATATGAGGTTATTTTTAACTCACCTATTTTACTGATCATTAAATATAAGTGAATTGGTTTAAGATCAAAATGATTATGGTTAATAATTTTGTTGCCGATTTTTGTCATAGGGCTTTATTCAGGAGAAGCAGCAAGGTAAAGACAAATGTGGAATAAAGCCGGATATTATGGCTGTTTTAGGAAAAGCTCAGCTTTTGGAGCTAGATCTTCGGGGGAACCTGTGCAGACTCTGTGTGTTCCTGTGGTCACTGAAGTGCAGCTTTCTATTAAATTGTCTCTGACCTCCTCAACCAGAGATGGAGATAAGACCCTGGTTCACCCAGACTGTTTACATCAACCCAGAAGACAGGAGCGGTGCTATTCCAATCCCTCTGTTGGAAACAATGGTCCTTTGTGAGAAGATGTATGTTTCAAAGCCTCCACTCCATGCTGGTTGCACCAGCACAGCTGATCAAGACTACAGGACCAGGAGAAATGCGGGTTTTCCTGCTGAGTCAAGGCTTGGGCTGTGAGACCCACATTTCTGAATCCCCCAAAGCCTCGGGCTTCTCGTGTGTAAAAGGTGCATAATGACACTCATTTAGCACATACCTCAGAGGATTTCTTAAGGATTAAATGAGATAATGCATATAAGTCCCTTAAAACATAGATGGAAGCACTTGTAAACATTGTTCTTGGGGTTGCCATTAGTAATATCACCATCTCCATAATCAGAGACAGGGTTGTTTGCTCTAGGTTTTGATCCTCCACACAATATCCCCAACCCGCTCGTCGGGAATATGTGGGAAGGACAAGGGGAGGTTGGAGAAGGGTCCTGCCGGCTCAGCTTATCTATCCCACTGTGGTCAATGACTGAATTAATACTTTTGAACTCCGTTCTGGGCTAGGTGCTGTGAATGATAGAACGAAGTTTTAAATGTCATCTCTGCACTCAATAAACTTAAATATAATCCATGTTACAGGGTACAGGAAATTCTCTGCTCAGGCAATCTTAGGTCAATAGCTTTCAAGTAAAGTAGGTGAAACCCCTAAAGGAAGACAAGTGCTGAGTGGAGAGAGAATTCAGGAGGACGCAGGGAATCAAACCAAGCACCAGCTATGCATTTGGGTTCACCCCTGGAAGCTAAGGATTAGCTGGAGTCATGCCTCTGAGGGCTTCCAACAGGTTCCAGGCCCTCCTTGCCTATTCCTGGTTCTTTTCAAAATTGTTTAGAAACACACACACAGTTGGCCAAGTACAGTGGCTCACACCCGTAATCCCAGCACTTTAGGAGACTGAGGCGGGTGGATCACAAGGTCAAGAGATCCTGGCCAACATGGTGAAACCCCATCTCTACTGAAAATACAAAAATTAGCTGGGTGTGATGGTGTGCATCTGTAGTCCCAGCTACTTGTGGGATTGAGGCAGGAAAACCACTTGAACCCAGGAGGCAGAGGCTGCTGTGAGCCAAGATCATACAACTGCACTCCAGCCTGGCAACGGAGCAAGACTCCATCAAAAAAAAAAGAAGAAGAAGAAAGAAAAAAGAAACACACATGGTGGGTCCCTTCCTTTGCCTAATATTCTCTACCAATGGAGAACTGAGGCCAAATCATCAGAGCACGGAGCCAGTCTGAGACAGAAGTTAGAAGCTCTGATAGCCTCTCCCATTGTGGTCTTTTCTTCATCCATGAACTCAACTCCAAGTAAATCCTTCTAGAAATAACTTCTGAGCACCCACAATGATGTGTGTAAACCACGACACCAGAACTGGTGAAAGATACCCAGATGGCATGACTTCTCCATCAGGGAGCCTACATTCCTGCAAAAAGCTGAGTGTACACAAATGAGCCTGATGTAAGGCAGGACATTGTTAGGCAACATACATGAAAAACCAGCAAAACACAACAGGGTTCAGAGCAGGAGAGAGCACTTCTCTTGGGACCAGTCAGGAAAGCTGTCTGAATTAAGGGATTCTGCTTTAGCTGGAACTTGCTTGGAAGACAGTAAAGAGCTGGACATGTGATAGAAATGTCTACCAGAGGGTGTCCAAGTGGAGGACCCAGCAGAGCAGAGGCTTGCACCACAGCACTGTGTGTTAATGCAAGAAGGAATATAAGGAAACCTACAAAAATCCACTGGGAATCTCTGCTTAGTAAAGACAAAAATATATATGTATTTCAAGGAATGCTTTGTTTATTTTGTCCTACTAATCTTGTTGGAACCATTTATTCCACGTGAAAAGGTAAATCCAAGTTTGGGAATCTCATTGACCCTGTGGGTTTTATTTCTGTTATAACTCAAGCCTGCTTACCCCTCCCTCTCCCACTCTGCCAGAGCCGGGGAACCTGAGGACTGTGAGGGCAGCAGCCTCCTAAAGGAGCATCTCGGCTGTGAACCGTATTTTCAATTTTTATTTGCGTTTCTTATTTGACCACAGCCTGATTTCTTTTAGGCTTGACATAATTTGTATGATTGAGTTAATCCAAGTGTGAAATGCAGTAGGGACCCAATTCAATCGATGGTCAGAAAGGCAGCATTATTAGGACATAAAAGAGATGAGGCAGGGTGCTGTCCCCGCAACTCCAGATGCAAACAGACTACCACGGGGGACTCGCAGTGATCCACAGGGCGGGACAGCACTCCAAAAGAATGAACTGCGTGTACTCGGCACAGGAGATGCATTCTTCAAGGTCCTTCTCACAAAATATTTATCAGGCCAGGCGCTGTATTTGAGATCAGCAAACAGACCCCCTCCATGTGGCATCAAAATCTCTCAGCCTAACTCCTCTAGCACCCCTTGTAAAAGAAATAGTTGCACATATGTTTTAAATATATATGTATTTTTTATTTTAAAATAATTTTAGACTTACAAAAAGGTAGTACTGAGAATCCCCATAGACTCCCCACCCACCTTCCCATAATGTAATGTCTTATCCTACTGTGGTAGATTTGTCAAAACATATAAATTTAAACAATTCAGTACTGTTAACTAAACTGCAGACCTCACTCAGATCTCCCCAGTTTTTTCACTGTCACTTTATTCATTTTGAGATATATGTTACCCTACTCATTTTGGTAATTATCTTTAACCAACAGAAAAAGTCGTTATTGATTTCATTTTGCAACCTGCTGGCCTTGCTCGACCTCTGGGCTCATCAGGGTGCAAAACACGCTCCCTACACAACCAAGCGAAGCCTCAGAGCCCCCGCGTGTACTCCACATCCTTGCTGGGATCTCTGGGGAGAACAGGCTTTCTGCTCAGCCATTCCTGGAGCATTGAGAAGGCACGAAAGCCAGCTCCAGGGAGCAGCTGTAAATTCACTGGCAATCAGCAGCTTCTGGCCATGGAGTGCCAGCTGTCCTCAGAGATCTTCACACCAACAGAAAGACCTCTAAGGGTGGCACGAGAACATCACAGAGGGGGCATTTGGTGAGGATTTTACCAAGCAATGGTTCTGGCCTTTTTCTATTTCATTGTCAATACCTTTAACAGTAATAAAGTAATCTCTTAGGCCTCCTTAGTAATTGTTCCAAAAAATTCTACTGTTTTTGGTAAAATTTTGTTTAAAAATTTTATGTCAATGCTACTAAAACTTTATCTCAGAATTCACATTTAATAGTCTTTAAGTACTGTTATCTATAAAATATATCTTAATTGTATCAAGAAATAAATGACATAGGATGTTTCATTGACTTTAAAGTCATAATTTAGAGAAAAGAGTATTTTGTTGACCGATTTGCTTTAACGTAATATATGGTCGTGTCGTTGAAGACTGAACGTGCGTTAAAACACAGTACAACAATTGCACATTACTATGTCAAATACACTAGAATACCTTTTTATTCCTCGACACAGAGAAATCTTGCATGTTGCCCTTAAAACATCAGCAGCTTTATTTTTTATAATTTTTGCTTTTTTTGTTTCTCAATGACAAAACTTGGGAGAAAGTTCATACTGATATTTGTTAAAACTTTGCAACTAACACATTGAGAGTATGGTTTTACATTTTAAATTCCCCATAAGTAATAAGCCACACTGGGCACATTTAATCTTTTTCATACTGAGTTTGGAAATACTAGAGACATGGTTGTGTGTAGATCAGTGTAGATAGCTTAAGAGGAATTTGCAGACATTTCCATTTTTATGGTCCTTAACTACTTTACAATATCAATGTCCTTCGTGCCTATGTCTCTAGCCAAATGGGCAAATATAAGTTTAAACTTCACAATATGTAACTAAGAAGTAAAGTAAGTTAAACCTGCACCTGGTGCAAACCACCCAGTGGTGGGGCATGTCTCATCATTGGCACATCCATGCTACCCAAAGCTTCTCCAGACACACTCACTAGGTAACTTTTGGAAGGCTCACAAATCTTTTAAGGGAAAAAAATATTGCAAGAGTTGTTTTATCTTTGAATTCACTGAACAATGTGGCATTCAAGTTCTAGATTGGAAGAAGGCCCACAAAGGGACCTC